CTCAATTGCCTTTTACAGAAAATTATCAATGACATAGAACGGTTAGCCATTTAATAAATGCACTTAACAAATAACCCAATCATAAAACCACCCAAGCTCTCCTGAAGACTGTCTTAGTACGATCCCCCGGGAGACAGGGAGATCTTCAATCTGGGATTATATGTATTTATAATCATCCCATCAAATATCAACTTAACTCTTATCATTTTGTAAAAAAAACGTAATTTTAATTTTAGATCTATAGTAATATCAACAAAAAACCATAAAATAATATACAAACAAAGTCAGGGAATTCTTTTTAACAAAAAATTAAGTTTTTAAATATAATTATATTACAATTAAACGAGCTTAACCAGCAATCGCCATTGCCCTAGTCAATTCTAGAATTTGGACAAAAAAAATTCTACCGCATATCAAATAGAGAAAGATTTTATATAATTTTAGAAATAAAAAAATGTGTGGCTAGTGAAGATAAATCCCGTAAAACTATATGCTCATTCGACCATTTTTTGAATACTAAACAACGACCAATATTTTGCTAAATTACAACCAAAATTTTATCATTTTTACGATATAATGCATAATCATGCGGTCGCTTCCGATATTCTATATAACATACCACCCCGTATCATAGAACCACACAGTTGGCTTCAGAAAAAATCTGGGTCTAGTCAAGCTCTGATCTATGCGATTGGTGATCTAGCTCGTTGCTAACTAGACCACAAATATTTATAAAACAGCATTGGCGTACGCAGCGGGAGGGGACAGGGGGACAAACCTTCCCCCCCCCCCCAAAGCCAAAAAATGCAGATGCCGGATATATTTTTCAAAAATATTATTATTTATATTTGTTAATATTTATTCGTATCTCATATTAAATATATATTTTATTACATTTATTATCACATTCATAAGTTATTTTATCAATTAATTTCGATTTCAAGTTTTCCGGCGTAATATTTACTTATTATTTTCAAATTTATAGTGTCGTAATATTTATCTACCATTTTCAAATTTCTAATTATTTCTGAAACTTCTGGTCCAACAGGGAAAAAGAAATTGCAACCTTGTCCAACTAGATAGAGCCTCTTCCATCAAGCACTAACAGCCATTAAGGAGTTAGAAGAGCCAATTATTTGCTATTACTGAAATATTACAATGACCTGAAAGAAATATTTCCTCAGAAGCAAGAAAATTATTGGATTCAATGCTTAATCCAAATTTTATTTCTCATTAGAATGTATTATTTAATTAACAACTATTTTAAGTATTACTTTTCAAAAACATGACATTGATTTGATTAAGAAGATGAGAATAGCGGAGAGCATTTTATCAGAACTCAAGGAAATTAGGGCTAATGTTGATGAAGAATATTTTATTGTTGAGTCAAAAGCAGAACTATACGTGTTTAATATTAGTCTCCCTCGACTTGTAGCAAGGCAAGCTCATCGTTTAAACATTAATATAGGATCAGTAGAAGAGTATATCTTAGATGCAGATACATTTATAACCCAAATAAATGAATTTTTAATATATCATGCAGCACTTACATCTGCAAATATTACTTCCACAAAAGACTTCCCAACCTTTTTCAGATGGTGATAGAAAAAAAAATATTTGTTAGATTTTTATTATGAAGATGTTAAAGTATCTTATGATGCCTTACTAGGAATAACTATGTTTATAAGATTAACTATAGTTGATTTAGTCCCCAAAAATGCTATGGATGCTCTCCATTATTTCAAACACATTTTAGATTAAATTCCCAATGTATTAAAAGGGTTTATAAACTCTTCCCATTAGTAAACTAATGAGAGAACACTCTCTTTTTTTAAGTAGAATAACAGAGGCCTGCAGAAGTACCATTTGCAGGGCACGACCCGGATTTTTTTTAAGATTTTTTACGCTTTTTTTAAAAATAAATTATATTTATTTTTGATTTTTATAGCTAATAATAACGATTTCAAATATAGACTGTTTTAAAAAATACAGCCCGGCTTGAGTGTTTTTTTTTAAAAATTCAGGTCCGGCCGGGGTGAATTTTTAAAATAATTTCGGGCTCGGTCCGGGTATATTTAAAAAAATTAAAATACTGTCCGGCCCAGGGGCCGGGCCTGCAGGTCTCTGAAAAACATACCAAGAAGTACAACATGTGAAAGTAGATTGAAAGGTTTGGATTTTTTGAATATTCATAGGCATTTGACGACAAGCAAGGATGAGATAATTGAAAAATTAGCTCAATTCCAACGAAGATTGGATTTTACATTGTAAATATATAACATATAAAATACAATTATTCCTAAGAAACTTTTTGTGTAAAGGCTCAAAAAATTCAAATTTCTATTTTGGGTCATTTAAGTGATTCTTTACATATAATTTTTTTATAATTTACATTAAAATTGTGTATTAGGAATAGTTATTAGTCCTAATAAATTTATGCTTGATATTTTTAAAAAACAATAATATTTCTCAAAAAAATTTATTATCCCCCCCAGACCAAATTCCTACGTACGCGCCTGTAAGACAGGATTTATCATTAAAATGGGCAATAGTGATAACTTATTATCGAGTGGAAATATAACTATTCCCAAATATTTAAGTGTGAAATCCAATAGTAACTGTTTTATTACAAATATAGGCCCAGAAATTTATACTTTATCTTTTGTATATAACTTTTTCTATAATTCATTAACCAAATATAAAAGATAAAAAAATTGTATGGTAATACATCTAATTTAATATATTAAGAATAAGATAATACAAGATCTCTATTAGAAAATTTTGGTTGTCGATTTTATATATATTACCAAAAGTATTTTTTTAAAAAATTATGGATTTAGCGAAAAAAATAAAATTAATGGAATTAGATCTTCATTTTACGCCATACCTTGAGTAGCAGCAACAAATTATTTTAAATAAAATGCATTTCTTATACGAATTTGGCAACAAACACATCGTTTTAAATTTATTTAGAGTTATACTATTTATAATATTTCAAAAAAAGACTGTTGTCAAATTTTAATATTTTGGCTATATTCGTTATTTTTTTATATATTTAAAATAATAATAAAAGCATGATTAATTATCATAAATAGCAGTTACTTCAAAAATAATATAATGAGTTGGTTATCTAAATTTATTATATTATAATATAAGGTAATGTTGTCAATTGTCCCATTTTCGCCTATACGGTACCTTTTACGAAAGGCCACTTTTGATTACATGCAAATTATATCTTCATTACGCTAATTTAAATTTGGAAAAATGTCCCTTTTTCAAAAGAGTTTATACAAAACTTATTCATCTTAATTCTAATTTAGCCTTCAAATCCAGAAGTTTATTAAAGAGTAGGATGCAATAATTAACAGTAAGACTTATTTGTTCTTCTTGATTCTATAACGTAGAGCCTAGAAAGTAGGACGTGTGCCTAAAAATTTTGATACTAGGCCAAATTTTTTAGGAAAAATGTGGACCGGACTAAGCTCGGGCTTAAAAATAAATTAAAAACTTGAAAACATAATTTTAAACTTTGTAGAGTAAAAGGGCAAGGTTCCAGGGTTTCGTATAGATATCCCAAAAATCACTTGTAGATTAACAAAAAATAATTATTTCTTAGCTAAGTAATAATAAAGTAATACAAATATTTATTAAATAGTTTGTATAAATAATTAAATTCTAATAGTTTAAAGGGAAAAACGAGTTTTTAATCATATTAAAAATATTAAAATTAATTTTATTATAGACTTCTATACCTAACAGCCATTGCCATACTAAAAAATATATCTATTATTTAATTTTATAAAATAAAAACTGCTGAGGTTGTGATTAGTCAAAATATTTTTTAATTCTGATTTGTAGGGATTCTATTATTATAATAACTTTAGGTGGTTTTAGAGAAATCCATTTTATCGGAAATGATATTGAAAGCAAGAAAACAATTAAGGAAATAGAAATAACTAGCTTTTATGATGATTGAAAATTATAAGGTTTCATAAATTTTTAATATAAATCGCAATATAAATTTTAAATATTAATGAACTGTATAATAAATTAAATATATTATATTATAAAAAGGAAAGGAAGTTCTTTTTGAGTTACTAAAGTGTTTGTTTATAGTAATTTATATATAATTTGAGTTTATACATAAAAAAAAATGACATTGTGGTGTCATAATTTTTTTAAAAAAATAATTAATTTAATTTTGACAACAATGTATCAAATCAATTTATGTATATGAGATATTTTATGACATCTATCTGTTATATGTAAAATAAAGCTGCTTTGTTCGTGTTATATTGTATAGAATTAACATCAGGGAGAAACATTTAACACAAAAGTGGGAAAAAAATATAAATAAAATAAAATATATGTAATAAAGCTTAACTATCACTTATTATTATTTATATAATGAATATTGTGATATATATTTATAAATCTAAAAGTTTAGTTTTTTTTCTCTAAAAATTTGACATTTTTTATGAATTTAGTTGCAAGTAAGACCAAGATTAAAAGATTTTTATAATATATTTTGTGATAAGAATAAGAAATTATTAATACTTAAATTTGTAAAAAGTAAAAATAAAATTGTTTATATAATTCATAGTTAATACCATATTAAAAAGATTAAATAAGGATTAGTAAACAATCATTTTCCATAATCTGAAAAGAAATATTGCTAAATAATAACTTACATACATGTATTAAATTATTATAATCATTTATTTATATAAATTAATAATCCTTTTTATCCTCTTTCCCTTTAATTATATAATTTTTGCTTTTTTGAACCTAAGGCACATTAAAAAAATAATTTAATTTATAGAAGCTTATAATATTTTTGTATAAAATAAAATCTTTTAATATTATTTATTAAATCAATGAATATGGTTGGCTATTATATCTTTAAAATATGATATAAAATTTTTAGATCAGCTTATATTTGACTTATGGAATATAATGTATTATATTTATATGTAATCATAAACATTAAATATGTGTACCTGTTTATGCATTTCCACATTCAAGCCATAGGACATTTCATAATACTGTAATAAAAAACATTTTTAAAAAAGAAAATTAATATTTTGCATAAGGTAAAATTATTAATAAAGCTCAATTAGTTTTATCCAAATAATTTAATTGATATCCAACATTTGATTATATAATATATAAACTTTCAAACTTAATATAATCAATTCCAATCTTATGGATATAATAGTTGTGTTGGTTGATCTTCCATTATTAGGTCAAAAAATTACTCATAAATAAATTTATCTCAAAATTATGTAAATTTTCAAAGAATATTTTAAAAAAATTGAATTTTATCTTATTTCCTCATGCATACTTATTTTTATATTATTAACAAGCCTCAAAGGCAATAAATATATTATTTGATATTTTGTATGTTTATATTAGATGTAGTAATACACATGTAATTTTAATTTACATATAAAATTATCTACTTAAAAATGTGCATTAATATTATACACATGATATAAATTTATGTATATGTATATTTAATAATATATCATATGTATAAACGTTATCTTTTTTTATATCTATAATTTATTCAAAAAATTATTTTTTATTTTATCTTGTCAAAAGCATTTTATTGTATAATATTTTATAGCTACACACAAAGTGCATTTGACAAAAATTATGCACAAATAAAAAAAACTTTAGGTATAAAAATAATAAAAGTAAGCAAAATTCTTCCAAAATGGAAATAATAAAGAGAATTATCCAAAATTTTTATATTTTTTTATATATAGTTATAATATTTTTTATAAATATCCCAAGTCTAAATTTTAGGCCTAGCCCCGATTTGAAAAAAATTCATTATTGCGCATGACCCAGTCCAGGATTTTTTATGGCGAAATTTTTTTTATGTCTTAAATTTCGTTATTTTAAATAATTTTGTATGAATTTTGTAGGGCTGTGCCGATATTAAATATCTCGGCATCGATATTTAGCGTTTTAAAGGATCGGGTCGATATTTTTCTATAAATCCGACCCGATCCAATAATTCTTATTGTTTTGGGTGTTTCATGATTATAATATAATCATATAATTTTTATATTTTATAAATAATTCATAATAATATTAAGGAAAGGAACTAAAATACAATTTATTTGATGTAATATTTTTTAAAAAATATATAAATTTTACAGTATTTTATCATTATCTGCAACAAGAAGGGTTTTAAAATATCTAACTAGTCACATTCAGTTCAACTCGATTTAGCCAATTTTTAGGTTTACTCAAGATTTTAGCTAATAATAAATTAATCAAGCTCGTTGATTTTGCCCACAGATGGCAGAAAGGTTTGGAGTTCTATTGTCGAAATTTCGAGGCTTGGGTAATAATATTTTGGCGAAAATCTTGATTTAGCCCTTTTTAAAAATTGGGGAAACTGTTTAACAGCAATACATTCACTCATAAATATTGTAAATATTTTAAATTACATTATTAACTTTAGGAAAAAATACACTTAATTTTTTAAAATAGAAAATATTGATATTTTTATGGCATTGATATAAATATAGATATATAAATATCGTATCAGATGAGTTTTTAGTAATATCGGAAGATATCGGATCGGTTAAAATTTTGTGGATCGGCAAAACCCTAGTGTTTTGCAAATTGTTCCAAAGAGGGTTAAAAATATAAGCAGAAAGTCAATATTAAATGCTCTATATGATTTCCCAACTGATTAAATGAATTGTTATAATTTAAATGTATCCTTAAAAACTTAAAATCATACCACTTTCCGACCCATTCCGGGTCTATAGATCTCTGATATTTATTGATTATTCAAATTATATTACATAAATTTTTTAAAATATAATTTATTGGCCGGGTGGATCTAGCCTTAAGAATGTTTTTCTTCTGCTAAATACAAGGTTATCGAAAAATATTACGCAAGACTGAAGATTTTGCTCATGACGTTTTTAAAAATCGATTCAAATCGAGTCGTTATGTTCATCATTTAAATATGTCCTATAGCTAATGAAAAGACCACTCTACAGAAAGATATATAGATGCAACATCATCGATGACTTCTTTTTTCAAATGATTTTTTTTCAAATATTTTCTGAAATTATAATGCTCAAAATGTTAACGAATATTGTGCTTACACTTTACTCTCCCCTCTTTCTTTAATAGAAAAAAATGTGATAATTTATCTTCTGAACTTATTTTCTTGCGAGTCTTGTATAAATTAACATTCAACTCAGATATATTTAAAACATTTTTTAAAAAAAGAAAAATTTTCGGTCCTTTTTTCATTTCCGGGAAATTGTGTCCATTTTTCTCGGAAATTATTTATTATACATAAATAAGATGTATGCTCAGTTATATTTCATTTGTTTTTAAATAATATGTATGTTTCTTTAATTACAACGCTTAAAATACCTCTTTTCAATCATCTATATCGTAATTCTTAGGCACATTCTCTTTTTTTAAGTCTCCAAATTAATTTACATGTGTTTCCAATAACTTTTTTGCAGAGGACTTTAAGTAAATTTTTATTTAGAGTCCCAATTAATGTTCCGTAGTTCCGGTTCGAAGGCGCGAAAAAAAAAATAATATTATATATGCTAGTGCTAGGAAACTAGGGCTCGCTAATTAAATTCAAATGACTGTATTGGTTTTAACAAATTTCATTTATATTGTATTCCTACTGGTTAATATTGGTATTAATTATTTATCCATAAAATTTAGAGATGATAAATCATTATTTTACAAAAATAAGATATCCTGTATTTTCATGAACGCAAAAATATTGTTATCACAAATGCTAAACTTATACTTATATAATAGATGCAGACAAAAGATCGATATATATTAATAATTATTGCACAATTAAATTTTGCAGTAAACAAAATATATCAATCGGTAAATTAGACATATATGAAAATATTTTTGTTATCTAAGAAATTAAGATGAAAATTAAGTTAATGAATCTAAAAATACAAGATGTTTGAATAATTAATTTTTAAATATCAGTATTAGTATTAAACCAATATATAATTAATATTGAATGTAATATTGGCTTAATTAGCTTATATTTGTAGCTTTATTAAACGGCTCAATTTGATCCGATTTTTAACAAGGCTAACACTATATTTTATCCAGGAAAATATTATATAAGTCTAAAGATTTTGCTCATAGATGATATAAAGGTTTCGATCTATTGACGAAATTTCGAAGCTTAGGCAATATTCTTTCTGGTGAAAATATTGGGTTAGCAGTAAAAATCGGCTCAAATGGAGCCATTTAACACTATGCATTTATATTTAAAACCAAGAAAATATTGGTATTATTGCCTGGCCTAATGGTAACCCATATATTTTGTTTTAATTGTTTTAAATAAAAACTTAACATGGAGTATTTTTTTTTAAATATTCTGACCCATTTTTAAGCAATTAAATAATATTATTATCAAGATTTTGGAGGATCTATAAAAAATATTCCCACTTTTTTGCTCGACTTTACACACTTCCTCCGCTATTTAATATTTTATGGTCAAGCGAAAAAGGTTAAATCGGGGCTTGCGAATTATATGTTATACTGTTTCCGGTTATAAAATATAAAATTTACCATGACGTAGTGCCTTTGCATCTCCGTCTTTTCGGAAGCTAGCTTTTCACATTCTATCTTCAGACTAAGAGTTTATTTTTTTTAAAAAAAGAAAATTTTGATCAAAAGAGGCTTTATTTTTTAGTCAAATTAAGGAGATAGTTATAGAAAATTGGCGATATCGCTCTCATAGCTATAAGATTTGCCAAAATTTATCGAGCTATTTTTACGTTTGCGCATTATAAAATCAAACTTTCTTACCTTGGGATTGCTAAAAAAAATATATTAAAATCGAGAGCTTTATAGATTTGCACATGCTCATGTGATTTAGGTGCAGTTTGAAAGTTTTATCAGCAATAAAGGAAAATAAAAGATATAATATAAGAAAAATTATCCTTTTTTAAACCTGTGATATTGAGCTTGTAAAAAATTGAATTCCTCTTTAATCCTATCACATGATTCCGTGATAGAGAATTTAAACGGCTGGCCAGGTTGTGGGTGAGAAATCTTACCCATTCCGAGAATGATTTAGAATAATACCATTCGAATTATTACACTTTTTTGTGGAAAATATTTCTTTTTAAAAAAATTGCGCATTTATTTCCAGAATCCGTGATATAAAAAAATAAATGATAGGAATTTTTGTTGTTTTTCAATATGGGATCGTCTATTTTATATAATATGGATGGATGATAATAAATTTTGGGGGTTGTAATTGTAAGCCTGGTGAAATTTAAACAAAATTTTAAAGATTATAAAATAATAATTTTCTTATTATAAAATAGATTGTTTAATGATTTGTTATTAATATAATATATAAAAATATAGGTATGGGATGGGTTAAAAAGTGTCAATATAAACTATTTTATTAAATATTGATGGAAGATAAATTAAAATCCATCTGATTTGATCTCGGATAAAAGAAACAAATTATAATTTGAAGTTACAAAATGTCTTCTATCATCTATTTTTACTTTCTCTGCATGTTCAAACTATAAAGTTTTAACTGTATATAATAATTTTATTATCCCTAAAGCTATCAAAATATTTTCTTAAAAAATAGATTTATATAAATTATTCAAATAACTTTATTTTTTTTATTAGCATATTATAATTTACCGGATGTTTTTATTATTTGAGAAGTCCTAATTTGAATAATTCAGAAACTGAATATTTCTGGAGATATCCTTAAATATTATAAATCAATCAATAAATGAATTGCATTATCTAATTTATTGGTTCCGAATATGTTTATCTAATGAGCACGATAAATAGAATATATAAATAATAATCCTAAATTTTCACTTAAAATTTTACAAAATTGATTTTAAGATAAATAAAATATAAAGAATACTTGAAAAATATAGATATAGTTATTAAAATAAAATTAACACTATATTTTTTTTTTCACAGAAAATTTACAAACATTTGTAATTTTTTTAATAAGAAAATAAAGAAAAAGCAATTACTAATTACAAATTAAATATTGATAAAAAAAAATATTTTTTATTTTTATTTATTTGTAAAATAATTATTATAAATAAAAGGTAAACAGTAAACAAATTTTACTTGTATTATAAACTTGTATTATAAACTTGTCTATTTACTTACTTTTCTGATGTGAGCAAAGGTTTAAATTTAATGCAAATATTTGTTTATTTCTCGCCAGGAAAATAATTTCAGTTTTAAGAGCGGTAAATTTCTGATTATTGTTAAAAAAATGAAAATGAATATTGATAAATTTTCTTTTTTTGATTACATATTTTAAAAAATTTATATTTTATGATATCGGAAAAATATTTAAAATTAAATGAGAGGAAAAAAATAATTAATTTGAAAATGAAATCTAGAAAAACAATTTATAGCGCGAACGCGAAAATATTTGAAAATTAAATGAAGGTTTCCTTCATTTCATATAAAACAAAATTAATAAATGATGAGAAGATAATATTTTTATTTTGTCTAAAATTTTTATAATTTGTCAAAAAAAAGAATTATATTTTGCATAATTTATTCACAATTTGTTTAAAATATTTTTTTAAAATTTCTTAATTTATTGAGGCCAGTAAAGGTTCATTTTATAGACACTAGGTCGTGATTCGGTCCAGAGTAGTGTTGTTAAACTGCTCGATTTGAGATGATTTTTAAAAACGGCTAACTCAATATTTTATTTAAAAATAAGCCTGAAGATTTCGCTCATAAATAGCCTAGCACAAATTAGACATCTATTCGCGAAATCTCGAATCTTGGTCAATATTTTTATGGATAAAATATTGAGTTGTCGTTTTTAAAAATCGACAGGCATTTAACAATAAGAATATGTAGCCTGTCCTTTATCAGTGAATTTTTTAGGCTTGGGTAGCCTGTGATATAGCTCAAATCCTTTTTTAAGTATTTTGAATGAACTCTTATCACTTTTTATAAAATTAGTGAAAGTAAATTTTTAAAAAAAAATGGTTTATATCGACGAAAATTTCGCAATTAAGCTCGAAAATAATTATGTTGAGGATTATTTTTAGTTATATTTTTTTCATATCAAACGATTTCTATTTTTTTAGGGGAAAAAAATGAAAGTTATACTCAACATCTACTTAATACTAAAAATATATATTCGCTATTTTTTGGATGCTTAACTAAATAAAATGGCACAATTTCAAATAGCACATTCTTGCAAATTAAAGAGATTTTTTTCTAAATAAAATATCACTATGATGGGATAAAATTTATGTATCTTCCTGTCAGACCCCCTACAACCTTAGCGGAAAATGAGTAGGGCACTTATCGAATAAGTTAATTTTTTTAAAATGAGTAAAATCGAAATTTTTCAGAAAAAGTGTAAAAATGCTTTCTAAATAATTTTCATATTAAAACGATATAATTACCAATTTTATAGAAAACGCAAATATTTGATTTTATTTGTGGCAAAACAAAAATAACTGGCTTTAGGCAAAATCGCTTAACTTATTTGCTCTACCATTAACCTAGCACATTAAATGTTTTCTAGCAATAAACAAATATTATATGATACTCTTATTTACCTCTGGAATAAAGTCCCTAGGCGCCCTTGTATTGTTTTGTAAATTTAGTGTGCAACTGGCTGATCTGGATCATTTCTTGACTATTGCTATATGATGTGCGGTTGGTAATAAGATATTTGGCACAATATACATTGAAACTTTATTGATAATTTTATAAAGTAAATCATCTTCATATGCATGATACTTTCGAGTAGCATCTGTGGTTACGTTTTCATAGATGTTGATTGAGGTATCACTTTAAAAATCTAGAACTAGGGTTGATTCTAGATGGTTTAGTGGCCCTGGATTAGTATATAGTTGATCGGAGGCCATATGATTTCATTAATATATAGTAAAATAAAATGAGTTTTATTGCATTTTAAAATTTGGTCTCTGTTTAGAAAATTGCCGTACAATGATGTTAGACTGCTCCAATTTTTAAACCGGCTAACCCAATATATTAGCAATTAAATGATACCTATGATGATAGTAATATATTATATTCAACGCTCAAAATAGTTTGTGAATGTTTAACATAAATGATAAATGCTTCCGCTAAATTTATAATGTCCGAATATGCATTAATGCACGCATATAATAGGAGTTGTTTAAAAGCCCGTTTCGGATCTATTTTCCAAAATAATATTATGTAAGCTTAAAGATTTTGCTCACAGGTGGTTAAAAGGTTTGGACCTCTATTTACCAAATCTCGAGGCTTACAAAATATTATTTTAGCGAAAATCTAAATCGGGTCGGTTTTAAAAATTGACCTTAAATTGAACATTTTAACAACCCTATATTTAATATTAATACAGCCAAAAACCAGGAATTTATTTTATTAAAATATATTTTAAATTATATACCCTTCCGCCATTCAAATTTTAAGAAGCAGTTGCTTAGAACCCCCCTTCTCTCCCACGTTATAGGGGCCACTGCCCTGGACAAAAAGACACTGGATAACATACCTGTTGTAGTTTACATTTTCTACTAGATATTTTATTTGATAAAGTGATTTATTTTAACATATATATTAATTTAAAAATAGGGGATTGATTATATTTATTACATTAAAAAGAAATTGTAAAGATCACGTTATCATTCTAAAAAACTTTTTTAAATATATTTTAAAAATTAAAAATAAACAAAATATCAGAGTAAATTACTTAAAGGATATCGCCATCAGCGGCGATATTTCTAAATTTAGAATAATATCCCACGTTTCTTCGATGGTTTTCTTATCTACTCTTTTTTTAACCTTTATGAAAATACCCCCGGACAAAAAGACGTAAAATTAATATAATTGTACGTTTCATATAGATTTGGGGACATTTTATAATTATAAAATGTATGTTATAGAATTAATCCAATATTTAAATAATTTTATTTATAACCTTTCCAGTATAAGTGAAAAAAAAAATTATAATCTCCTCTTTGGATATTCTGGCGGTGACAGGAGATTCCTTAAGGTTAAATTTTCGATTTAAGATTACTAATACATCAAGTAAACATAGCACTGACTACCATTTTATTTTTTATTTCCACCACAGTCCACTTGGGTCTAATATTTCTATTAGAGATCTGCAGGTAGGGCCTAATTTTTTAAGAAAATTCGGGCCGAGTCGGGCCTTAGAATTTTTTTTTTAAATATATCTAAATTTATCAATTTTATGTTGAATTTTTTATTTGAAATAAAAATATTTGATTTTATTTATAGAAACTAGACCCCATATAACATATATCGATTATTTTGAGTAATTATAAAATTAATTTCTATATTTGAATAAATTCGGGCCGGGCCGGCAAAACATTTTAAAAAAAATTCGGGTTCGGTCCGGACAGGGTAAAACTGTTTACAAAAAATTTCGGGCCAGGCCGGGCTTGAAAAATTAGGCTTGATGTAGGTCATTTCTATGCATTCCGATTTCCTACAACAGTTTACATAATAAACAAGCAGAGATAAATAGAAGATGAAAATTTAATAATATACTATTACTTTAGTGTCATTATTAAAAGTTGGACCACTTTCTAATGTAATCGATATTATACTTAGAAAAATAATGTTCAAAATATTTGTAATTTAATTCATCATTTTTTAAAAAAAAATAATCTTTCGAAAATCAATTTATTTTTTTTAAAGAGCATCAAATAATTAAATTTAAACAGCTTGAAATATTAAAAAGATATAAACAATCTCCGCGAAACAGAAAATTATCAAATTTACTATAATTTCTTTTATATTTTATTTTAATAATTATATCAATCGCTCATATTTATTATCTCTCATCTTTTATCTTGATGTGAAAAATGAGAGAGAGAAAAACCTTCATATTATGAGCAGCAGTCAAGGGAGATTCTGCATCGGGCTATATCAAAAGCGCACTGGTCATTCATTATAAAGAACGCATTTTATATATAATTTATTTTAGAAACTAGAAAAAATGGTACATCAAGATGAACAGCCAATTGCTTGAGGGCTTATCAAGTTAGGGAGGTTTTACTTATGTAGGTAAAAGATGATATTAATCTATTAAAAACGCCAACAGTGCAAACAAAAACATTATTAAATCTTCCTTTTTTTATTTTACCAAAAATAAATATTATTATCGTGTTATGTTTTTTTGTAATTATTTTATTTAAAAAAATTACAACATTATTTGTATTTTATTTTAGTGGGAAAAGTTTGCAAAAAAAAGAAAAGAGATAATTATTTTTATTTTGTATAACCTCTTAGAGGTACCATTAAAGATCTTCAATCCCAGGGCCGGACCGTGAAAATTTTTTTTTGTATATATATATTTAATGTATCCTGATAGCATTGTTAAACGAACGACTAACTCAATATTTTAGACAGAAAAATATTTCCTAAGCCTCGAGCTTTTGCTAATAGATGTCCAAAACCTTTGTGCCATCATTTTTACAATTTATTTATGACATGGATCCAATTACAAATGCGTAATAATACAGATCAATAAATCATGATGAAATCTATTTTATTTTTTTTTCTTACACATGGCTATGCCTTATTTTTTAAATAAAAATAATTGTTATTTATGAGTATCGAATAAAAGTGAACCGTTAAACCATTATAAACCGTTATAAATGTCTGAACCACAAACGTAACCGAACCGATATAATTATTTTTTGAAGGAGTAAAAAGAACCTTTATAAAAAACGGTTGAACCGGTTTAAACCGGTTTAGTTTTTTTATTTTAAAAATGGAAATAAATCAAATATCCAGAATTATATAAACTT